ACATTTACAAAGTTTTGCTTACTTGTTGGATAAAGAAGATGGATAGACCATGGTTTTTAAAACTGACCCGGTAACCGAACTGGTCAGGGGTCCGGTTACCGGGTTGAACGGTCCGACCGTTTGAAACGAACGCTCGGCCCGTTCTAACAGAAAAATAAAAAATTTCAAAAAAAAATAGTCAAAACCGTTCGAACGATTAATCACCCGGTTCAGCGGTTCGCTGACCAAAATCAATGGTTTTGGGGGGAAATCCGATTTTTGGGGAATTGACCAGTTCTTGATTTTTCTGGTCCAACCATCCGATCCGATCGGGTCCGGTTTTGAAAACCATGGGATAGACCATAAATTTTCTTTTTGTTTTTTTATTAGGACTTTCAAGTGGTAAAATATAAAAGAAAAGAGGGATTTCCTCTTTAGACTTCATATATATATATATATATATATATATATGTGTGTGTGTGTGTGTGTAAAATCCAGCTTTAAAAATGAAAAAAAAAATGTGGTGAACAGTTATTTGGTCAAAAGTCGATTATGTTGAATATGACAGCCTTTGAAAAACCCATGATGCAAAATTTAGCATATCTTACATGTACATATACTATATATTATAAACATGATCCTATTTTATATTATATTGTGAATGAGAGTGTGAAACTTTTGTTTGACTCAAATATTCAAATTTTTTAATTTAGTTGCTCTCTAATTGAAAGGATAAAAATATAGTTTGAACAAACACTTTTCTCATCATTCAATTTCATCTCATTAAATCTTATATTTAAGATATTAATTTGTATTAACATTTATTGAATCATATTCTTGAGTAGAATGTGCCTAATTTTGAATTTAGTCCCTCTCTAATTGCAAGGTCACCAATTGTAATTTCAACTATCACATTTATCTTTGTTCAATTTACTCTCATTAAGGGTATTAATTCTCATTCTTTCATTGAATCGTATATGAATTAACCATATTAAAGAAAAATAAGTGTAAAAAAATTGATTTTATTGATGATAGAAATAAAATACAAATTTAAAACTAACATAAAAATGGAGTTTTTTTTCTCCATTTGGTGGTGAGCCAACAATTCAACTTTTTTTTTGGTCAATTGTGTAAACACTTGATGTAATAATTAAAAAATTAAAATACACAAAAGCATAGAAAATATAAAAAAATAGAAAATTTTGGAAACCTATTATTTACTATCAACATTATCTTAAAATATTACCACGTGCAAAGCACGTGTCTACTTACTAGTATAATAAATAAAGGGTAAATTACAAAGACCCCCCCTGTACTATGGGGTATGTGAAAAAGCCCCCCCTGTACTTTGTTTTGTGATAAAGACCCCTTGTACTATGACCGTAAGACAAAGACCCCCTTTTGTTAAATTTCCGTTCAAATCCGTCGTTACAATATTTTTTAATCCCCATACTACCCTTATTAAGTGTACAGCGTCGCCTGCTCCAGCTGCGATGCTATCTTCCTCTCCAAAGAAGCTCGATAATCGTCGTGTTTAATATGTTCGCCTCCTTAATAACCCAAACAGAAACCTCGTCACAGTAGATGAAGATGATCCAGAGAGTGACCTTGAGCTCCTTTCCTGGGCAGATTCATAATTATCTCTAGAAGCTCTCTCTGCTCCCCTCAGAAGCAATGGATGCCGAGGATGGTTTCCTGCTGGAATGCGAAAGATGCATCGTCTACAGAGATACTGCTTTGCGAGACCGATGATGGCGGCACTATTGCTGAAATTGCAGGTAGTGTTGGACAAGCCATTATTGAGGGCGTAATCGTTGAAGGCGTAGGAGGCCATAGACTAGATATCTTGGGGATTGTAACAAGGAATGCCTTGATGTAGAGCCCTGTAATCGGTGCCTCCCACTCCACAAGCCCAATCTAGCGCCATCTACAAAGTGGAATCTTTGGCGTTGTTCTTTGTTGCGCACCAGTACTTGGTAGCGTTAAAGCCACTGTTGTTGGCCTTCGATTCGAAATTGGGGTTTGAAGGCGATGTGAACGAGGGGCACTGAGATGGGGTGGTAATGAGAATGAAGGAGACGAGAAGAGAAGCATGAAATCGAAAGGTCATAGCCATTGGAAGGGATCTTATGGCCAACCAAAGAGTGTGAACTGTGAAGGAATAGAAGGGTTTGACAAGGTTTTCTTTGATTTTTATATATATATCGAGAGAGAGTGAGTGAATAGCTGGCCATCCAAAGAGCAACGGATCAGTTGAAGAAGCTCGCACCACGATTGAATCGATGCTTAGCTCTTCTTTCAACCAATGGCTAAGGTCAAAGCCTTCTCAGACGGAGCTAGCCGCCGGCAACCATGGTTGGAGTGGAGGGAACAACATTGGCTCTTAGAAGTTTTCACACACTGAGAAAAAGGAACCCCAAAGATAGTGATCTCAGATCTGTCGTTGATGGAGATGCGTTTTTCTTTCTCTTGGTGGAATTGAAAAGGGATGATATTATTGAAATTTTCTTTTTATCTAATGGGGAAGGGGAAGGTGGCGGTTGGAGCCGTGGTGATTTGTGTTGTGACTATATGCGTAGCGGCAACGCTTATCGTGCATCATCGGATGCGATGCTCAGGTCGTTGGGCCCAGGCGATGGCCATACTGAAGGAATTTGAAGAGAAGTGTGCGACGCCGATTGGGAAGCTCAGACAGGTGGCCGATGCCATGTTGACAATCTCCCTACAGGGTACAAAATCCTTCTTTTCTTTTGTTTCGTATTATTGATTTTGCTTCGTGGACTTAATTCAGGTTGTTGTTGTGGTTTTGCGTTTTCAAGTTATTGTTGTCGATCTTTTCTTTTTTGCAAATTTTAATTAGTTTTGGAGATGTATTGATTAAAAGCGGTGAGTGCTTCTAAAGCAAACGATCTTCAATCGAACTTCCATTGTTCTAGTATGCTCAATAGTTTTGTTTGTAAGTATATATAATGCCCAACTTGGTTTTCCTTTTTTTTGGGTAAATTACAAAGACCCCCTGGAGTGTTCATGTGTAGGCTTAATCACACTAAGCAAAGTGGCTATGTTGAGAGGGATGAGTAATTTCGTCTTCGTCATGTACTCTTATGCTCTCGCCACTCTCCTCCTCCACCTTTTCCTTCTTTCCCATTTTTTTTTTGGTTGGTAATTTTGTGGCAGGGCAGAAAATTTAAAACCTACATTGTTTTAAAGTTAGGACCAAAATCAGATCTCTTACAACAAGAAAATCAGAAGAGAAGAAGAGAAGAATGAGAGTTGGGTCTAATAGGTGACTGTGCAGGGTAGAGAATTTAAATGGGTTTTCTCTATCCTTTCATTTCGAAGAATTGGGAGAGAGAAAGAATGAGAGAAGACGGTGAGGGAGAGGAAAAGAAGAGAAGAAAGGGAAAGCAATAGGTTGTAAGAGAAAAAGGACAAAAAAAAAGAAAATAGAAAAAAATTTAGTGGGGTATTTTAGTAATTTAGCACATTTCGTTATCTGACTTAACGGTCAAGGAGGTCTTTGTCTCATGGTCATAGTACAGGGGGTCTTTGTCACAGACCCTATAGTACAGGTGGATCTTTGTAATTTACCCTAAAATAAAGCAATATCATACTTCTATATTTTTAAAATCTGTTTACAAATTATACAATTTAAGTATATGAAATAAAACCCACAACAAGAGGGCCAAATTGAATGACTTATTGCTTTTTTATCTTTTGGTGGAAAAAATAATTAAACATTAAAACATTTAAATGTATAAAAATAAACTCTACTTAAGTTTAAACTTTAACTGCAAAAAGGAAATACGTCCTTAAAATGGGGAATGCCCACTACAGCCTTAATGCTTGTTTGAGAGGCTTTTCAAATAGCGGCTACCCATGTTGCATGAGCCACGAAACCCAAAATCCTATAAGAGTCATTGGGTAAAAAAACCAGAAAGTTGAAAATAGGCTTCACGAGCCCAAAAATCGGTTTTCCGCTCAGAAGTGACTCACACGAGCCCTTGCAAACGTTTCTTTATTCTTCAAAGAGCTCAAACCCCCCTTAATAAATTAGTGCTTATTTGATAACAACTTAAATGGGTGAATTGCAACTTTTGCCGTTAAAGAAATCACAACAATTTTAATAACTTAATTAGGCTTCGTGGGATAATATTCTAATTTTGAACTTTGGCTCATGGAAAGCAACATTAAAGCCAATAGGCGTTTTGCTTATAAAAAAATTATGAGTTATTAGTGCCCATTTGTGAGAGGACTGAAGTGCAACAAGTCTTGACCTTCCAATGTGGGCAACATAATCAGCCTAAGGGCCTGTTTGTTTATTGAATTTTGAGAGGAAGAAATTAGTCAGTTGGATTTTGGTTCACATTAATCAAAATATCCATGTACTCGTTGGGTATGTTATAGTCAGCCTAAGGGCCTCTTCTTTTTTCAATTTTATATAAAGTCCATAAAAAATTTATAAGTGATTCCTATATCTAGGTGGAAAAGTAACTTTTCCAACTTGGGGGATAGGGTGGAGAGAAATTGCCAATAATTAGATATGACAAAATGTTAAAAAAAAATGATAGGACAAAATTGCCCCTTTTAATAATGCATTTTTATGGCTAAAAAGACCATTATCTTATTTACTTTGAAAATGAAAAAACATGAATAAATGCACTTATTGAGTAAATAACTTTCTGAAAAAACAAATGAAACCTAAAAATTATATTAGTTTGGTGAAAAATCAGGAGAGCCCAAATCTCCCTAATCAGCTGCAAGCCAATCATTTGAAGTGTTGTCCGCTTTAACCCTTTTGGGTAGGTTATCTAGAGTACTTCAAAACAATATTACAAGCTTAGCTGAATTGAAAATAGGCCTTCAAAATTAGGGCTTTGTGCTTTTACTTTTTGGGCTTTAAAAACACGAATTCAAACGCAACCTTATTTAGTAAAAGACAAAACTAAAAGTAATAGGTCACAATTCAGCCATTTCAGCTCGCTGCAGCGAGAGGATGCAAGAGGAAATAAAATAAATTGGAGGATTTTATGTGGAATGAGAAGTCTACGAGTCGACTCTTGCATTGCAGTGAACTCTCTCCCTTTTTACGCGCCAGTCTGTTGTGTGGTATGATCTCTTACAGACTTGCAGAGTTACAGTGAATATATATTGTGGGACTGGCGCTAATTGAGTTTTTTTCCACCTCGATTTGCAGTACTGGTGGGCAGTAATCGGCTGAGGTGGATAAAAGGTTAATTCAATCGCTAATATCGTTCTATCGGCGATATCTTGCTTTTGCCGTGAAATTGAACTGAGAAATCGAGGGACTAGGGATTCCAAGGGGTTTCACCTACAGCGGAGAAGCCATGGCAGGTCTTAATCGTTCCACAAGCGCTCCCATGAAAAACGGCCTTCCTCCCCAAGAGCTCCTCGACGACCTTTGCAGGTATTCTTCGTTTCAATGTGTTATCGTTATTTATAGTTTTATTTGGTTCCTTCATTTCTATTTTCCTTGTATTCTTTTTTTTTTTTTCTGGTTTATGTGGTTTTCTATTTGCTGATTTTCATTCTTAAGCGTCTCATTTTTTGTGCTGTTATTTTTCTGCCTATTCTCTTTCAAGTGTTTTCTAGGGTTTAAGGATAAATAGGGATTTATAAATGTAAAAATGCCTCAAATGATACTTTTCTGGTTTATATCTGGCGTCTTGTTTGGAGGAATTGGAGAATTACGAGGTCTATGAACTTTACAAGAAAAAGAAAAAGTATCAGCGGAACCATCTCAAGAAATGCCCGTCCATCTCTCTAGCAAGTAGAATTTAATCTACGGAGTTATGGTATGAATTTCTTCCAATCGTTGGTACTGCTAAATAGTTAAAATTAGTAGTTCAAGAATCCTTCGGGAGCGTTATGAGCAAAGGAATAGATGGTCTAGCAGAGCTGATTGGAGATGGGTATTATTCTGTTCAGTTGCTTCTGTGGGTTCTACAGCCTGTAACGACCTGTGGTTTTCTTCTACGCGGAGAGATGTTCTAGCAGAGCTGATTCAGACCATTTGTTTGATTCGGTAGCCTCTGGATCGGTCGTCTGTATATTTTTCTTTCCATGTCATCGCCATAGCATGCTGTATACAGCAGCATCGATCGCTTCCCCCGCCGTGGATAATGAATGGTCAACGGGAAAGAGGGTGATGTGGGAAAACAAATGACACTCTTTTCAGTTGCTACCCAATTGCTACATGCCAAAAATCATGTAGAGCTGGATAAAACACCTGCATTTTATAAATATCAAAGACAACCTCTTTAAGATATTTTTATGGAACAACTTGCTGCAACTTGGGCATATTAACCTTGATTGTATTTTTGCCTAGAGAAAAATTGAAGTCCTTGTCCAGTTGCCTTCTTAGTTATTTGGTAATGCAGTCCCGGATGGCTAAAGACTTAAAGAGGATAGCTAAGGAGGTGAATATTGCATCTCTTGTAGTGGAAGGTGATTCGGCAAACACTGTTAGGACTTAGGACCTATGGTATGAGCAGAATCCCATGGTGCCATGCTCACTGGGCCTAATTTTGTTTGTACGGTTATTCATTTTTTGTACATGAATCCCAAATGGATAAGGGTAGCTAAGGAGGTGAATATTGCATCTCTTTTTGTGGAAGGTGATTCAGCAAACATTATTATGACCTTTGGTGTGAGCAGAAGCCTATGGTGCCATTCTTACTGGACCTAATTTTTTTGTATAGTGACAGTTCTTTCTTTTGAGAAAAGGTAAAGTATTTTCTATTAAATAAAAAAATCAAATAAAAAAGTATATGGTCCTCTGTACAATGAGATGCTGTAGAAATAATTTCCATGTAAGGACCTCAGAAAAAGGTCACCCTAAAAAAAAGAAGAATCATAGGTGTAATGTTTAAATACATTATGTATAGACAGCCAGTTTCTAAGATCCCGAATGACCAAATTGATGATTTCAGCTTCAGTTCTCTACTTACCTTTTTTTGTGTTTTTTTTTTTTCCTGGTGGAGGAGGGTTGATTGGAAAATTTTCTTGACATGGATGTACATTCTCTTTTACTCCCATGTCAACATCTTTTTGCCGTAGATCAATTCAAATGCTGTTTACATTGAATTGTTGGGGCAGCTTCTCTTCTTTGGGTGGGTGAGAATTTTTCAAAGAGTTTTGGTGTTGCTGGGGGCTGTTGGATGTTTTTTCCTTACGTGGACTTAGGGATGGGCTTGTTTTAAGTATAGAGGGTGTCTGATCTTGGGATTGTTTTCCTTTTTTGCAGGTGGTATCTTATCACCTATTTTGCATTTTCTCTTCTCTCAAAGTTGTATTAGAGTAAAAAAAGTATTTTTCAGATTACTTTTCATAAGGAAAAGTATAATGTTCATGAGGTGCCTGTTGATCCATAGGCAATGGAAATGGAAAATATAGCTGATATCTAGATTCTAGAGGGCTCACGTTGCTTGGCAGATTGTTTGCATATTGGAATGTTTATTTGGTTTGCATTTATTTTGTCAAAGTTGTTTATGAAGTTCTTTATTCTATCTATGGAAATTATTTTGGGACTTACTAGGGCTCTAGGAGTCTTTAGGTATAGAGGAATATTACAGATAGAAATATGCATGGTTTTATAAGATATGGTGGATAAACAGATTGAAGAATTTGTAGTTCAAGATATTCTTGGTTTGGTTACATGAAATGTGGAAGAAAATTAGAGAAAGTTTTGAATATTTTATCTGAAAAAGTGGGTGGAATCAACAACAGAATTTTCATGATTAAAAAAAGCAATATATTCTTTCTATTCCTGCTAGAAAATGCAAGAAAATTAAGTGCAATAAATAGGAAGTTGTGGCTCATTAGTGGCTTATGTTTTGAAGATTTTCTTTTCTTGACAACAAAACAAATTTGAGAAAGTTAGATTGATAGAATGTTCTGTTTCTTTTTCCTTCTGTTTCTTTATTTTACTGTCTTTCACTTTCTTCTTGATAACCAAATAGAACCAAAGTGATTGCCTTTGAGAATATTCCAATGTGGAATTTCAGTGTGAATGAAGAAAACAAAAAGAATGCAAACTTGCAAAAGAAATTCTAGAATAGCATATTTCTCCAAAATAGTTGCATTTGAGGCCTATTGGTTGGTTGGGTGAAGCATCTGTGCTTGCTACAATATATGGGGCATTTCTCTCTAGAGATTTCTGATGTGTTGAACATATTTGACATGACCCAATATGTAAAGGTTTGTTGATCTACTTTTCTTGACTTTTAAAGACACAAGGATTATGCAGTTATGTTTTGTGTTCTTCTAAGTTATTCTTCTTTTATTACTCGATAGTACATAAATATGTATGCATAATGTGAACCAAGTTATCTCTTGATTTTATTTTCATTAGCAAAGAGTATTTTTAGGGTTCACATATCCTAAGAGCTCTTTCTCTCTCTCTCTCCGCCCCCCCCCCCAAGTGTTACACTAGCAATTGACACTTGCACCCTCAATTCCGAAAGTGTATAGGACCATGGGTGGCATTGTTTGGGGTCCGTATCTATATTTTTAGACTTTGGGGGTTGGCTATGGTATGGTAACTCTTGTAAATGGTGTTAAAATAACACTTTATGTCACTTCTAGGGGTGAGCATATTTCAGTTGAAACAAAAAATTTGGTTTTGATTTTTTTGGTTCAGTTATTTCAGTCATATTTTTTCCGGTTTGGTTACTTTGGTTATGATTTTGGTTCTCATATTTGAATATACATATAATGAAATTTGGTTTTAACTGAAATAACTGAATAAGAAATTTGGTTCAGTTATTTTGGTATTTCCTTAATTCAACTTTGGTTTGGTTTTCCCTCTTAAAACTTCACTTAATCCAGTTTTGGTTTATTCTATTAGGTTTTTAACCAATAACTGAATGCTCATCCCTACACTTCTCGCAAATGATGGTCTGTTAATTTTTTTTATGTGATCTGTCAAAGAAAATATTTTTTTATGTGTAGTTATCATGTTCTTACTAGGCAACATATATGTAATGGTTTGATACCTTGTTATATATGTAGCTTTGCACAAAGGTGGAGACAGGAATTTATTTTTGGGCGTTGAAAATGAAAAAAAAAAAATTCTACAAGGTTAAATTGAACAACTGAAAATTATTGTAGATTAGAATTAATGGTGCACATTTCTAAAACACAGAATTTATTATGATGCATTTGTCAGAAATCAGGTGGAGTGGTTTCCTTTGCAAGGAATTTGGGGCAATCCAATCCCACCAAAAGTGGAAACTTTTTCATGTTATCTGTCTTTGAATGGTATTTTGACAGTTAACCATTTGAAATTATTATGTACTTGGCTAATATTCCAATAACCTTAAGACTGTTGGAACGTGTCAAGCCAAGCCATTTAACTTTTTTGGACCGTAACATTCCACCATGCTTCCGCAGCCAACGTCTCAGCGGCTTCACTATAGGCAGTTCTCACTCTAGCATAGGGTAGTCCTTTCTGTGATTTGAACTTGAGATGTGGTGGTAAGCTCTGATACCATTTATTTCATACTTGACAGTACACCATAAGCCTTAAAACTGTTGGAACATGTCAAGCAAAAACTTTTAACTTTTTTGGACCATAACAGAAACCAAAGGTTATCATCTAGCAAGCCTGTACAGCTGTACTTTATTTGCAAAGAGATGCAAGGAAGATGTGGTTCATTTGTTTATTCATTGTTAGGGGGTAGTCTTCTTTGGTCCTTTTTTATTTTTGATTATTTAGACAATGTCAGTCTAATCTATCACAAGCTCATCTGCTTTTCTCCTATTGGCTTATCATTTCTTGTGGGAAGAAAGCAATTTTTTAGGGTGTATGGAGGGAGAGGAGCAGGATAATTCTTATTGAAGCAAAACAATGTAATTGTAGAAGAATTGTTGCTTTCTTTTGTTCATTGATGATGGGATGGATGTTTGTGCACCCTGAGGTTGAAGATTCTTTTAGTGCTGATTTCTGGTGAACTTTGGACCTTGTTATTATTAGGTCTTAGTTGGTCAAAATTTAGATTTTCAATTGTAAGTTTTGTTGCTGTTGTTTTCTTGATTCAAGATGAAACATCATCATATGTTGTAATCTTCAATTTTCGTGTAATAAATCATATCTTTTTTTTTTTTTATTACAATAAACATAAAGAAAAAAATAAAGACGAAGATACATGATATATTAGATAACAATGATCTTACCTCTTTTGTGTAGAATGCATTTGCCCAACGAAAAATGGTAAGAATAGTGGTCTGGGCAGTTGTATTGGAGGGAGGGGGGAGGATTGATAAGTATTTCAATGGATTAAGGGGTAGATGATGAGACTTATAGCTATTTTATTAGATTCTTAGTTCTTTTAAAAATTGGGTAGCAATTTTGGGTCCATCTCACTTTTGATAAATGGGACATACCACTAATTATAAAAATGGGATCTGCACAAACCAGCCCTTGAAAATTTAACATGCCTAAAAGGGAGAGGAGAGGAGTGTATATAGTATTGCTGTATTAGTAGATTTATCTTTTCTTGTAATTCTAACAAAAAGAAGATGATACATGTGTTGAGTGTGGAATTCATTAATAAAAGGCAAGTTGCTTTTTCTTTTCTTTCCGTTTGGTAACAAACTAAAGCTATTAGTTGGGAGTAGTGTAAGGGCATGTGTGCAAGTAAAGATACAAGTATTAAACTTATATTATATGATGTTCTTATTTAACTTTTTTGACCTGCACCAAAATTAAGACAAGTATCTGCATTATATGGTATAAATATAGATAATTGTGTTATAATTAATTATAATTGGTGGACCCCTATTCCCACAAACCAACTCTTTCTTTCTATATATACCTGGGAAGTGTTTTAATCTACTGTCATGAAACACTGCATTTTCTCCTTTATTTTTTTATGTGATCACCTATTTGATTTTACAATCTTTTTGCAGATTAGCTCTTCTCCTGTATGTTGTTATTACATGATTACCTATTTGATTTACTATCTTTCTTACTGAATTAGTTTTTTGCTTTGTATTAATTTTGTTCATTAACTTAAACACATTGTTATCTTTGATGCAGTCGATTTATCTTAAATGTTCCTAAAGAAGACCTAGAATCATTTGAGAGGATTTTATTTCTCATTGAGCAAGCCCATTGGTTCTATGAGGACAACTCGGTGGAACAAAATCCATTACTGAAATCGCTTTCTCTGAAGGAGTTTGCTTCTTTGAGTATCCTACGAAAATTAGTTTCTTTTTTTATTAATTTAGGATGTCTTTGCTTTCATTGATCTGTTATTGCAAAATAGTGATTAGTTGTTGACTGTGGAGCATATCAGTGTTGAAAGTAATGCCAATTGTTCGATGTCTTCATTTAGCTACAGATTTTGTTAGGCATCCTCTTTGTATGCAGCTGTTAACATTTTTTAATCATGGAACAAGAAAGGCAAAGGAAGGCTGATCTTATGGTGTTAACTTTGATGATGATAAATTTATGACTGGAAGGGGGAAGTTATGATTATTTGGGAAACCAAGCTGGAACTACTAGTGGGCTGTTTACCTTTTCAAGTATATTATTATTGAAGGACATATCTTATGGTTCTTAGTAGCCTTCAGTTATTTATTTATTTATTTCAGTGGCTGGTTGGCTTGCACTGTCTGCATTTTCTGTTCATCCAATTTACTTTTACGGTACTAAGGCAAATCTAAGACATAAGGTTCCACCATCAAAAGGATTCCCCCCCTTCCGCAGTTCTGCTCTCTAATCTTGCTTGTTGGATCTTAATTATCTAATTAACAAACTTCTTGTGTGATGTTTTCCAGCAATTTTCCGTCCATAACATGGCAATCATCTTATTATGACATATATTGTCCATGGACTATTACTTTAGATATGCCATTCACATTGAGTACTTTGTTTGGAAACATAACCATGCACCCAAGTTTCCCCCTACTGTTAAGCTTTCAAGTATTCAAAACAAGGCCTTTTGTCTTCTATATTCTTTCAGCTCCTGTTCATATAAAAAATGTGATATGGGTTTTGGAGCCATATTCCTTCATTTGTGCATATGGGATTTTATCCCTTCACTTGGAGCATTCTTTATCAGCAGCTTTTGGCTTTGCTTATATGCTGGATATTACCTATTTTCCGACAAAAGCCTCAGACCCTCAGGCCCTGCTAATTCCATGATTGTATTCCTTAATTATATAGTGTTTAATAGTTGTGCTGCTCTGCGGCCTTATATAGCACACATTGATGATATTTACAAGGACTTCACTTCCTACAAGGTTCGGGTTCCAGTAACTGGAGCAATCATTTTGGATGAATCTTATGAACGGGTAAGGCCACGTTTTTTGATCAATAAACGGTTCAGGCCACTTATCAATGTGTTTTTGCAGATTTTTTTTTTTTTAAATACAAAACAAATTCTTGATTAAAAAGGGCAGCCCAGTGCATGGCTCCTACCAATGTGGGGTCTGGGGAAGGACAGATGTATTCAGCCTTACCCCTGTGCATACAGAGAGGCTGTTTCCAAGATCTGCACCCTGGTAACCCAGGTTGCAATGGAGCAACCCAATTGTTGCGCCAAGGCCCACTCTCAAAAGGAATTCTTGATTTTGCTTTCAATATTAGGTAATCAACCTATTATCTTAAATTTAATTTTTCCAATAAAAAAAATCTCAAATCCAATTTTCACATGGCTACATTCATGTTTTGATATAGAGATGGTGTTGTAGTCGTCAAGGCGACAAGGCGCCCTTTGAGGCTCGCCTCGCCTAATTGCCAAGCAGTTTTGTACAATGTATTGTAAAATAAATTTTTATTCTTTATTTTTTGACATTATAATTATAAAATAGGCACTATTAAACTAAAATATTCATTTTGTGTGTTTATATACTAATTTGTTTTTATTATTATTTTTATTTGTTAGGATTTAATCAATACAAACATTGTTAAATGCTGTATTGAACCCTCAAAGACTTTAAAACGTGAACCAATAAGCAAGGAAGAACTTGAAATTTTGTCTAATCAACACATTTTCTATACTTTAACATGAACTCTATACTTTTCTTATGAAAATTATGAATAATTATTAAGGAAATATGGCTATGGTACCTAGGGAACTACCCTAGGATCTATTTTTTCTATATAAAAAAATCCATCGCCTAGGCGACAAGGCACCCCCCTAACGCCCAGCCTCGCCTTGGCGCTTTGAAAACTATTCGATCAGTAGGCTTGTGTTTCTTTTTGTTTTTTGATCGATAACAATGACCAAAGGAATTTATCAGGGGCAAGAGAAATAAGGTGCATTCACTCGCTTTGTGTCAAAAAAGTGTTTCAATTAAAGACTAAAGTACTTCAAAATTGAAATTTTAATTATTATTAAGCAAAGTAAAATTATATAAACTTGCTGAGATGAATGAGACATCTCTATCGATCAGGAAAAAATGATGCATCTGTAGTTCTGTACCATGTTTTTTCTTAAGTAATTTGATTATTTTATTGACATTAGATTTGTGCTGTTTTACAGTGTTTACTAGTGAAGGGATGGAAGGCTGGATCAAGCTGGAGTTTTCCCCGTGGAAAGAAGAACAAAGATGAGGAAGACCACACTTGTGCCATCCGAGAAGTAACAACTTTGTTTCCTCTGCCTGTTGGACTTTTTAAAACTCCATTTATCTTTGTTATGTATAAAATGCGTTTATGAAATTGAATATTATCTTTCAATGATTGGAATTGATGGAATTGCCTTAATGATGTAGTACAGGTTAGCATGGTTTTCAAAAACGGACCGGACCGGAAAAACCGGGAACCAGTCACCTGACCGGTTCCATTTTCCCCCAAAACCGTTGATTTTGGTCAGCAAACCACTGAATCGGCCGGTTAACCATTCGAACAGTTTTGACCGTTTTCCAATTTTTAAATTTTTTTTTTGTCAGAATGGGCTGGCCATTCGGGTTGAACGGTCGGACTGTTCAAACCGTTTACCGGACCCCTGACCAGTTCGTTTTTAAAAACCATGCAGGTTAGAGACTATAGGGTTATTAAAGTTGACAATATCAAACAAATTAGGGTTTTTGAATCGCAAGATCCAATGGTAAAATATTGGAAAGGAAGACTACAGTTGATTTATAGGAGGCATAACCCTTCATCATCATCATCATCATGTGTGGTTGGCTACATGAATCTTGTTTTGCCCGGAGGGGGAGGCGGTAACTATTTTAACTAAATGGTTTTATTCCTATCTCTTGCAAACTTACAGTTTTCCTAGCCATAAAGCGGAACAGCACCATATTATGGACTATGGAGTCACACTACATCTGAAAATTGAAATCATAGAGAAAGTTGAATAAAATTGAATCGTGAATTCTATTGTAAATCAAGATCATTTCTCTTTTTTTTTACAAACTTGTAAGAAAAATAAAACAAATATACTAAATTTAAATATATATATATATATATATATATCTATATATATATATAGATAGAAAAGTGATTCTATCCTATTTTTAATCTACATTATATCATATATGTACCTAAAACAATAGAGTTATTACTTGTACAGTAAAATTTTTAATTGAATGCCAACTAATCCACATAAATCACTCTTTAGCCTACATGTGATGAAAAATATACTAAATATGGTTTCTAGAAGGTCATAAACCTAAATTAATCATTTTTAGCTATGAAATATTAATTGAATTGATTGAACTTGCATGAATCATATAAATTGTAAGATTCATGGATTGAATCATATGGTTTAAAACATAATTGTAAGATTCATACAGAAAAGGATTCGAACAAAAGATTCAAATCAAAACCCTTGGTATTCATGATTCAAGTTGTGAATTGTTTTGTAAGTGTAAGATTTTGAACCATGTCTACATGAAATTGTGACTGCATTTTTTTCCTCCATTTTTTCTGATGCCTAAAGGGTGGAAAACAAAGTTTTGGCTGTGACAAGGGCAGAAGTACAACTGAAATTTTATGAATAATTTGGTCCCCTTTCTAACAAAAAAGGTTGCGTGACTAGATTGATTTCTTAATTTAACCATGTTTCAACTTGGACTTGAGATACTCATGCATAGGTGGACACTGATTTAGGAAGTCAAGTAACACTAAAACTAGAAATTCTACCATAAGTTGGGTTCAATGTTTTGAAACTCTGTTAGTCATGTAATTGTTGGAATGCTAAATTAAGACATTTGATCATGCTTTGACATTGAAAACTGAAGTTACAACAAACGTTCCATAATTATGGGGCTGTGTCATTAGGCCTCTATTCTTGTAGCTTAACCTGTTTCATTTCTAATATTTTGTGATGGTGATGCCATCTCTTGAGTAAAGTTCTTACAAAACAAAGAGCTTCTCTGAAAGTTTGTCTGTCATCCTCTTCCATATTGATAATCCTTTTATTATTCAAGGCTAGATTATGCAATCCGACCTTTGATTACTACTATTGTAGTTGATTGAGATACCTCCTTCCTTCCTTGCTGTTGTCTGCACCTGTTTGAATTTTCAGAACTTCTACTATGGTGTTTGCAGGTCTTGGAGGAAACAGGTTTTGACATTTCAAAACTTTTGAAAATGGAAGACTATCTTGAAGTTACTATTGGACAGCAGAGGGTGCGACTTTATATCATTCCTGGTGTGAAGGAAGATACTGTTTTTGCACCAATGACTAAGAAGGAGATCAGTGTATGTGATCTTCTTTGTCTTCATACGCATCTATTAAATTATTGGATGGGGGATCATCTTCTTCTTCAACTACCATGACCAAGTTATGTACTTGGTGGGAGATGATTTTTTTATTTTTTATTTTTTCTCATTTTTGTCCATTTGATTGTATCTATGAGATAATTAAGATTTACAATCCAAGGAAAATAAATATAAGCCTAAGTTGTTATTTATTTATTTGCAAGTTATCTGAGTCATTGGGTTATGTTGTTTTTGAACCATGAATTTGAAAATTGGTCAAAGTGAGTTCTTTGTTTAGTCTCTAATAATATCATTGTTTTGTATAGAAGTGGCTATTCTATTCCAACTCCTGTTACATGTATCTTCTTGTAGGAATGCTTCTCCACCTTTGATTTCGATCTTGAAAATACCATATTTGAACTTTTTTGCACTACACCTTCATTTGTCAGATTGGAGAATTGGTTTCCTGCAAGTAATACATAGAAAAACACAGTGGACTATAGAAGAAATTAAAGTGAACATGTAGGTGCTTGACATTATTGGTGATACTGCAGGAGATCTCATGGCACCGCATTGATGAATTTCAGCCAGCAGGCAATGAAGTAATATCCCGTGGGTCCAATGGTCTGAAGCTTTACATGGTTGCTCCCTTTTTAGCGTGAGTTTCCTGACACTCCAGTTCCTTAGGAACAGCTTTTTGCTTTTCCTTAGATCAGTGAAGCTTTTCTTTGCAAATATTTATGATATTCGACATCTTTATGCAGCTCTCTGAAAGCATGGATTGCTGCAAATCAGCCTCCCACTGCCCAAAAATCCGAGGCATCTTTCAAAGGTTTCTTTTATCCTTCCCTTAAATGAAATTTCTGGTGTATTGTGAAAATTTTGACCTCAAATCAATACATGTCACAACTTTTAATTGAAACTTAGATTTGGACCGGACTCCCCAACTGAGTCAAGTAAATTAAGAGATGTTTTTACTAGCTTTGCATGTGTGAGCAAGCATCTTCAAGTGTTATTGACAAATTACCATATTCAGTTGGAACTTGTTTAGATTTTTTGTTTCAATTGTTATCATGTTCTATATTTTAAAAGGATTCCATTTTATTTTGTCTAGGAACATGTGTATGGAAGGCAAAGAACAGTTCCACAGGGGGTACAACAGCAGCAACAACAGAGGGGCAGTCAACTAGATCTGGACTTGAAACTCAGCTGTCTGATGTGGGCCCTGGAAAAAGCTTCAGATGCTTCAGGTTCGATTCTGCTTTAATCCTACAGGCAATGGAAGCTACATTTTCGTCCTAACTAGAACATTGCTCTGATTCCTCTGTAAAGTATACTAGGTCGATGTTAGGTTTCATTGTATCAGCCATGCCCTTAGTGTGTATCTATCACAATGGTCTTTGAGGCCCAACCTTATACGACATTAACTGCTTCTGGTCTGGTTTGGGAGGTTGTAGATTCTGTATAGCAAATGTAAAAGATCTTTCTGTTCAAGTAGTTGCTATTGTTAAACCGAGAGTTGATCTATTTAGTTTTCATTCAAGTACTTCCTGAGTTTCTGTTAAATGTAATGATTGTAATCTTGTGAGAAATGATTGTGGTATTAGCTACGTACATGCTTGGAAAATGTACCGGTCAAAAAGGGCCGCTGGTGCAGTTTTACCATGCCATTTAAAGCTTTAACTGATAAAATAATTACTTGTTAGGAAAAATAGAAGAAAGAAAAGTTAGGAAGGTGAATTGGGTCGGCCAAAGGTTGGCTTGGAAAATTTTCTGGTCTTAAGTGTGGTACATTCAATTGATACTGATAGTAATATGCCGTGTAATACTTGGTTTGCTTCACCAATTGAGATATTAGTAATTAGCTTAATTGTGTTATGAAAAAAGATAATGGTGGTATTGGCATCATGGGAAGTGATGTACTTGTTTGAGCTGCTCTTGTCGTGCGTACGAGGCATGTGTAATGGGACACGGGACACCTATAACAGAACAGACTGAATGCAAGTGCAATAGTCCAGACGTGAATATGAAACTTTTTTCTGGTATGGTCCGTATGGAATGATACCGGATCTGCTGAGATCGGCTTCCATCAGGGCAAACCTATGCCCACACAGTTCTAATAGCATTTCCCAACCTTGAATGCATTGGGATAATATCTCCCCGTGAAAGAAAGCATTTAGGCTCAGTTTGGAAGCAGTACAAATGCAAATATGTACAGCATAAATACATAACAAAATAATTCAAAATATAAGGTTTTGCATTCTACAAATTTGCATTTGTACTCCGCGGTAAAGGCTGCTCCAACGGGCTTTGCCTTGACTGAAGCTGAACTCGGATCTGCTGCTCTCACTGTGTATCACTTTCTACGTAACCATTCACTCGTGATTGGTTATGCAGTACAGTTCGAACAGCACATTTCGTGTGGAATTTGTTTCTCTTCGTGAAATGGTCGTGGATTTAAATATCTATGAAATTATTTAGTTTATTTTTATTACATTTATGTATATTTTAGTCTAATAGTTTAAAATTATAAATGATATAAAAGATTTAAATATTATTGATACGATTTGATTTAAATCTGAATATCAGTAGGATAAAATCCAAATCCTGTTAAACCTGTTGCATACCGCTATTACTTGTTGGGGGGGGGGGTGTTCTGAGGAAGAGGATTCCCAGAAAAATTGGTGGGGTGCGTCCGGCAGCTTCCCCGATTGGACTGTTAAAGTCCCAATGATATCACCATTTGTTGGAAGCAATTTTGGATAAACACCCTCTACAGATATGGCCTCCCTGAACGTGGTGAGTCTTCAACCAGGGTTTTGGCTTGAAGCGGGGGTTGCCATTGTTTCCGGTAAAAAGATGAACCAATTCCTTGTAATCTCTTTCAATCACCTGATTCACCACCGTCCATCTGTTCAGAGGTGGACCAAGATATTCTCTTAACGACTAAATCTCCGCCTCTGTAACGCAGTAGAGCGGAAGTGCCCATCAACTTCGAGATGGCATATAAAAAGGCAAATTAAATTTTCGTCATCATAAATAAAACTTGCAATTCCTCCAGTGTCAGTGTTAGAACTGAGAAGAAACTATCCTTAAAATGACTTGGAACAGATCCTGAATTTTCGACTTAAACATGCCTTGACTTTTGCAATGTCCCCATTGGACTTACATACCCTCATTCTTATCTGGTTACATGAACTGATGAACCTGTTTTACTATTTTAATATTTCAAATGGGCCCCCCTTCCCCCAAGTTTACCTAATTAAAGAGGAAGCCGATCTTAAAACATACGTCTAAATGTGAGAGAGAGAGTATAAAAACCACGGTGGTGCCGTGGTGGTGGTCCTAATCCTACTCAAACGGAAGAATCAATAACAGATTCTTGGTGGGGAACAAAATTGATCAAACTTAACCTACTCAAACGGAAGAATCAAGAACAGATTCAAGCAAAGTAGATGGGGAGATCATCATCCTCTGCACTCTAGTTGATTAAAATTTCAGTCAGAAGCCGATCAACACAGGCTGCCAGTCCATTTGGCTACCGCAATTGAAATTCAGAAGAACAAACAAGTCAATAAATCAGGAACTCCTTGGGAATAAACCCAATTGCAATTCACGCACGTCGGCACATAGGAATACTGCGGCCTCGGTGCATTTCAGTTCAGGTACTCTCCCTCTACAAGCGGACTCGGAAAGACGTTGTGTTGTTTTAATACCCCTCCCGCAGAGACGCAGTCCCGCTCCATCTCTCGCTATGCCAGACGAAAACAGAGATCGCTTGTGTATGCAACACCGGGAAAATGGGGAAAGAAAGATGTAATGATGGGAAAATATGGAAATAGAATCAACAAAAAGATCAGCACAAAATTGAAAATAGTTTTTTTTTTTTTTTTTTTTTAGGAGGATTCAAATCTTCTCCTAACAAAATCAGATTTTGAGCTGCTTCAGGCTTTCTATTGCCACAGATTCTTGCAGTTCATTCCCTGTCGCAGTGACACTCTCCTCTTTCTTAACTGATGGTTGGGCTGGAGGGGTTGGAACCATGAAAACTGGTCGTTCTTCCACCCGAACAGGAGCAGCAGCAAACACTGGGACAGCTTGTCTAATTCTAACCGGTGGTGCGGCATGCATAGACGGTGGTCCTATCACTGGCGGGATCCTGGGGGAAGTGGCAGTTGGTGGTGGAAGCGGTGGAGCGGAAAAAACAGGAACAGCAGTCCTCACTGTCACTGGTGGTGCAATGCCACGGTATGGTGACCTGAAATGCCGGACAGGGATGTAAGGTGCCGCTCCTGTTGCAGGGAACTTCTGGGGACGGACTACACGGCTTTCAGGTGACGCTGGGTTGCAGTCATTTACTGCTGTTGATGCAGGTCTGATTCGTGGGGCTGATTTTGGCCGGATCAATGGGAGGATTTTTGATGTCGTAACCGGGGGTGGCTGTGGACTCGATGGTCTTAGGTTTTGTATTGGGAATTTCTTCGGGAATGGGGATGGAGCATCAGGTGAATTTCCCATTGCCATCTTTTCCTTCAGACGGTAATTCAGTAGGGCCCGTGCTATGGTAATTTGTTCCTGTTCATCATTGTTCTCCGACTCTGATGACGAGTTCGCAGCCTCCTGAGCCACTGTTCGATGAAAACGTTAGCTACAAGAATGTAAAATTTTCTATAGTAAAGTCAGGGAAATCTAATAAAAGAATCTACCAAACAAAAAATAATGAAGAAATTGGAAGGAAATAAGCAAATTTGATGGGCTGGCGGCAGGACCCCATTTCCAAACTATATTATCTAATTTGTTTAGAATGAAGAACTAGGAAAAAAAAACCTAAATAATGCAGGATGCAGCCGCAGGTCATTTCTAGAACTCTGAAGCATGAAGCTGTGACATTTATATGGGAGGTTCAACAAGAAGGAAAGAAATAACATACACCATGGTTTTGACAATATGCTGATGAAATGCGTTCCTAAGCAAGAAATTCTTTTGATACAAGTCAACAGCAGTAGTTCACATTACTTTGGCATACAGCATTTTTACTGTGAATTTATGTTGGCTGTTATTCTTTTGGCCAAAGCATTTATTCTTTATGAAAGAACACGATAGTGGCTCCATTGCTTAAAGTAAATAATTCTTGCATGAAAGGGTGTATAGCAATCACTTCGGTAATCTTCTATCTAAATGGTTATGATCTATAGAATTTAGATGGAGCCTTACATTGTTTCAGTGACAGCCATGCTGCCATGGCTGCATTCTTTTCAGCTTGCTTCTTGTTTTTGGCTGGTTCCCCTGTGAATTTGATTCCAGCAAGCTCTACTGTACCAGTAAAGACAGGTTGATGTCCAAGACCTGACCGGAAAGTTGTATATGATGGCAATGCTGCTCCAACTCTTTGTGCAATCTCCTGTAAGAGGTTCTTGTAGACACCTGTTTCATCCTGTGCATTAAGGAGCTCAGTTAATAATCTAATATCAACTAGTCCAACAGTTTTATATGCTTGTATTGGTAAGTTAAGTGAGAACTGATATTTTCACGCTTAACTACACAGTTAACTTGAGAATTCAATGTTAAAATAGAGTATGAATGAAAATATGTTATGAGAAGCAGCAATTATTAATATAACAATTAAATAGAACTGCTCAATGTTTACATATTGCAATCAATATTTAATAAACATCTAACTTAAGTAATTTTATCTTTCTGCCGTGCATTTAAAAAAAAATTGTCATTTACATTTCCTTTTGATATTCATCCAAAAAAAGCATTTCTTTTTTTTGATAATTGAAAAAAAAACATTTCTTTTGATGATTGTGTGTGCATTGCATACTGTGAACTATGATGACGGAAGGGCTTTGACCAATCAACCCCCCCTGTGAATTTAAATAAAAAACCACTTGATTGGTTACCACTTTTATGGTGCTGGTTCATTGGCTATAGTCTTCTCTGGTATATGTCTTTATGCTATCATAGTAGAATTGATAACAATAGATTACTGATAATATTATATATATATATATATTTTTGATAGGTAAAAAACATAAAATGATACAATCATGTGCCCATACCAAGACTTGAAAACAAGTCTCCCATGTGATAATTTTTGATATCGACCACTGTGCTACAACATATTGTAAATTTACTTGAAGCAAAAAAAAAAAAAAAATTGTAAAGTTACTGGTGTTTTCATCATTATTTTATTAACAAGACTTCTCTTATCAAATCTAGATTAAGAGAAGCATAGAACTAAGCCATAAAAAGGACTGTTTTTTATTGCTTATGGAAACAAGGAACAATTTTTATATGGATGAATTACTCATCATATAAAGCAAGGGATAATAGTAGGAGCTTTCTTACAAGTCATAATACTATTGGAGTCTCCTAATGTAAATCAAAACCAATACAAACCCAGAAATCTTAGAAAGTGGCCATTAACTAGTTCTTATGATGAGAACTGTATGTCAAGTAATATGTGAAGCACATTTTCTTGACACAAAGTACTCTAAAGAGTTGCATTTGTGCATTATGCTTTTTAGGAGTAAGCCTCACAGTTAAAGCCTCAAGATGTTCACTTCAGCCACACCTCAAGGTTGAGGCAAGTGTCATCGTCAAGGTCTAAGCTTCAGAAACCTATTAAAACATTGACTCCAAAATGCACACCTTAGAAAGTGGTGCAAATGTGTTTATATTCCTAGGTTGGAAACCATTCTTGCCAATGTATTGGATAATGAGCTGCCCAAACTGTCAACAGCAAAGTTGCGGGCTGAAAAATAACAAAGGACCAAGATAACAATGGCTGAAACATCTTAATGGATGATTTTGTAACAGGTGGCACTACCCATATTTTTCAAGGTGCCAAGGTGTGGCTAGACAATGGGGTAAGTTCCTAGAAAATCAACAGATTCATGAAAAAGAATGGAAGAAAGAAGAAATTTCAGAAAACAGAGGGACAAAGTTTGAGTTCTTCCTTGTTTATCAGTTCAGACTGAGAAGTTTTTGAGGATTTAAAATAACATTCATTTTGATTGAACCCCGGCAAACAAGAAAATAATAAAAAAGAAAGTAGTATTTTAATTTTTAACTCACAAACTGACTGAATAATTTATTATAATAAATATCTTTTATTATTATAATTAAAAAAATTAAGAATATAAAAATATGTACAAAATAGCTTGACGAATAAGGAAGGTAACCCTCGATGAACACACCTTGTTGCGTAGGTGTCACCTTGACAACTATAGCACTGCCCAAGCGATATAAAGTTGAAACAAGTGGGGTTGCTCTACCAAAATAAAGGATGCATAACGGTTAAGCCATAGATACACCCATACGCATTTGATATTTTGTGCAGGGATCAGGGATGAATATAAAGTTAAAAGCTTTGGCACATAGTGACACGTTCGGTTGATTAATAGCTCCATTATATCCATGTCCGATGTAAAGACCACTTCTGGAGAATTCAGCATTTCGGGTTAACGAAGGGCAATAGTCAACAAACATGATAAAGAAGAATAAACTTGAACCAATTGAATTGCCTATCCAAATAAAGAAAAGAAAAAGAAACTGATCCAAGTAGACCTAACTCCTAAGGGTCATAATCAGATAAAAAAGGGTAGAAATCGTGGGTTTTGGTTTTGGCCAAGGCCAATCCAAGTGGTGGACTCACCGCTCACGGTTGCAAGATTAACAGGACTAAGATGATCCGTCATTTGGGCGGCTAAGACAATTCCTGGTGGGGCCCTGTGTTATTAGGAAAAAGACAGCTTCCCCCACTACAGTCTCTGGGACAAATTAAAATTAATAAAGATTTAATCTTAGAGCTAGAAAGCCTAGAAAAAGAACACCTACTAATAGTAATAGGGCCCACTTCCACCTAAAAGATATTAAAAGACTGTTATAGGCATTTGCATAATTGCATTTAGCTTCATTATAACATCTACTCTAACTCTAATGAGAGAAAATGATTTATTAAAAAAAAAAATAGGATTCGGATGATGTTGGTTTGAGAAATCAGACACTTGGTGCTATGCTACTATTAATAGAGAAAAGTCTAGCGTTATCTACTCAGCACTTTACACTCAAAGTGAAAGATCAGACAGACTAATCGCACCCAGAGACCAGATGCAAGGGCCTGGATTTTTCTAGATCAACAAGAAAAAATACCACCAAAAGACGAAAACGCCCATGCCATTTTCGAATTAAGTACGGTAATACATACCGCCTAGCAGTAGCAGGCCACAGCCTTCGGCACTTGGCAGCGTGAAAGACAGCGAACATTAAGTGAGCTTATATTGCAAACTCAGAAACCTCCCAAATTTTCACTATTTACTATATCTCTTTTGCTAAAGGCAAACTTCGCTATTTCCTTTTAGGTAAAGATGCATTTTCGTCAGTCACCAAATCCCACATTCCCACTGCTTTCTAACCATACCCAAAAACAAAATAGGGTCAAATTTGTCATTTCATACTGGGTCAGTCGATCGAATCCTGTTCCGGTCCCGCCAGCAAACGGCACGTCGGCACCGGAAAAATTCGGTGAAAGCTTTAGAAAAGTAGTCAACCTAACCGCACTGAGAGGTAGTGCGTCCAACAAGCATTCATACCTAGAAGGCGCACATTTGCCGATCGATGATCAACGCAGCCGGGGTGAAAACTCGGCGACTCTCTCGAGTCGAGAGAGAGAGAGAGAGAGTCGAGAGTGACTGCTGATCAACCCAACCACACAGAGAGTGGAAATCTCCCAATCGCCCATATGGGGCACATAAACTGTTAACAAGACGCCATAGAAGAGAAAGCTAGGTAAATTACTTGAGACAGAGCTAAGTTCCTGTTTGCCTGGGTGCTCATGTTAGCTGATCATCGCTCGAAAAGCCGGCGAAGAGGGCCTCTATAGTCGGGTGGGATGGAGGAAACCTCGATAGTGTCTCTCTTATGCTTCGACGGATATATATTTAAGAAAAAAATTCTTTCTTTCTCCCTTTTCCTATTCAATCTATATCCATGGCGGAAGATGAAAAAGAAGCAAATGGGGAAGCCAATCGAACATGAGATAGAACGATTGACAAATAAACAGACACCTAATAGAGCTGCAACGGAACCCTAACCAGTAACGGCAAACAACAAAACTTACCAGGATCCTTGCGGCTAGCGAATGCGACGGCCCCCTGCTCGAAAGCGAATTAAGCGCAACTTCTGCTGCTGAATGCTCCGCCTGCCTCAACGTCGTGCAATAGTTAGGGCTTTCAAACGTCTCCCCATTAAAGTTAACAGTAGCCTTGAATCTAGGCGCATGATCGGGACCTTCTCTAATACACGTATACGACGGAAGGTTAAAGCAACTTCTTTGCGCCAGCTCCTGCAGCTGGTTCTTATACATCTCTTACCTCTTCTTTCACCTATCTTATCTCTCTCTCTCTCTCTCGTACACCTTAAAATCACACTTGATCAGCGGAAACAGATCGGGAAACCGCTACAGAACTCCAACGCTCGATACCCTGTAGCACAGTCTGAAGTGCGCGACGCATTAGGACTCTTTCCGAGAGATTATAAGTGGAATATGTTTTCCGACAGGATCCAGAGGTTTTTAGGGTTTTTGGTGTGTAGAAGAGAAGATAGAGGAGACGACCTGAAGCAGAGAAGCAGAGGAGGTAAAAAAATGAGGCATTTTCTAATTTCTAGTGCCCGTTAAATTGTATTTTATTTGTTCATTTGCAGTGGGTCAACTGAACGTTTGGCTGCATGGTGATCTTCTCTTAGATTTTCTCTTTTTCGTCAGTTCATTTCGTCCGGAATTTCTCATGTTGGTAAAACTATTTTAATTAGAAGCTAATTAATGTGGATTATAATACTAAACCCTAGAGCCAGGGCCAAGGATGCTTGGAAAGTTGGAATCTCCGACATCGATGGGAAGCAGGCAGCAGAACGAAAGTGACATCAAATATTCGCTACGATGACCATTAAATTCTTCGTATCCTTGAGGGTATTATTGTAAAGTTAAATCTATGAGCTGCAGCTTCTCCTCCACCTCGTCGGTGGCCAGCACAAGTGGAGAACAGGAGAACGGTGCGTAGTGGTCGGATTTCAAATAAAATTACTAAGACACCCCCACTAGGAGGAGGGTATACTATTCACTCGCAGTCGCAGTGTGGACTCTGGAAGTGCAACTGCCAATAAAAATTGAGTATCGAGTTTTTTGAGTATTGACACACAAAATGTCAAATCTCTTTGGTTAATTGTCGCTTATAGCCTTTCCCTTTCAAAAAAAAAGCTCGACGTGATGATTTCGTACAGTTTTGACCGTCTGATGTAATTTCCATGGACCAACTGAAGGTTGGGTGCTAATCTAATCCTCTTCCAAGTGTATAGATCTAAGGTCTAAGAATTCAATACTCAAAATTTTCTTGGAAAAAATATCCCCTCCCTATATAGGATTGTTCGAATAAAATTCCAATGGAAAATAAAATATTTTTCATTGGATGCTGAAAATTTGTCACCTACCATCTAGAAGACTTTTTATGGTACAAAATAATAAATTCCTATGGTGCATGACCTATATGTTGTTTGATATCATATAATATTATGATTAGACATGATAATAGAGCTATGTTGTTTATAAGATAGGCTCTTAGTCTCGTTACGGTTGCATCAGCTTTCGATAATTTTCTTTTATAAATTTTAATTGAATTAAGATTTCGTTTGATTTGTAGAAACAGAGTATGAAATAGGAATCAGAATGGGTCATTTTGATTTCAATTGTTTGATTGGATGGAATCAAAATTTTATTGGCATTTTCATTTGAGTGAATGGTCATTCCCTCACTCTCTCTCCCTCTCTCTTGAGAATGAAATTTCATTCAAGTTGATTTTAATTCCTATTCCGATTCCAGTCTGAACCCCCCACCATACTAGGGACATTTATTTATTTATTTTGTATATATTTGACTATTACAAAATGAAAAAATGTGAAGCAAATCACTGTTTGTTAAACTTGATGACAAACTTGGAAGTGTTGGCATTTATTGGGATCGATTTTCAAGAAAAAACGTCTGCTTCCAAGACCCGTTTTTTACAAAAAAAATGCTTTAATTTTGTTGGGAGTGTTTTTGCCACGTAGGCAGTGAGCAACACTATGCTGTTTGGTAAGGTGATTTTCATCACCGTTTTTCATGTATATACTGACAGATAAGCACCACATAGGATACATGTAATCGCCAATCAGTCAACTGTTGGGAGAAATGGTTCACCGATGCATGAAACACCAAATTTGATATTTCATACATCGGTGGGGTCCGAATTTATGAGGCATACCCGATTTTTGAATAAACGCCTGAACCAAACAATGAAATATATGGGCATTTTGTTGAAACGCCTATGCGGATCCAATGTGGCACCGTTTTTTTGAGAAACAGCCATGGTTCCAAACATCCCCTAGGTTAGAAATAATCATAGAGGGACCCATAAACGTTAGTTTTAAGTTTCAACATTTATTTTTAACCTTGTATCCATTTCATTCAACTAAATAGCAAGGTGCAGTGAGCACTAGGATATCTGCACTCCGATCATAAACCCAAATACAATTATATCATTTTGAGTCGACTCAAAAGCCAAAACTTGATAAAAAGGAACATTAGTATATCATTAGATTTATGCCAGGTCTGCGTAGAGGTGTAAAGTGTGTCATGCCTAGCCCATGGGCCGTGTCTTGGGCCAGGTCGGACTGTGCATCAGGTCAAAGCTATTTGTTTAAAAAAAATTGACAAAAAATTTAAAATTTTAATTTTATATGAAATTTGTGTATGCAATTACTTGTATATATATAATAATTAAATAAATTAGTATAATAAAATTAAAAAAATATTTATTTTATTAATATATTATATACTATATATATAATATGGGTCATGCCGGCCCGTGGAGCTAAAACCCTAGGTCCAATACGGCCCCGTATGATCATATTGGGCCTGACATGGCCCACAAACCATCGTGCCATGCTGGGCCAGTCCAAGTTCATGCCAGGCCACGGGCGGCACGACCCGATTTACACCTCAAAATATGAGAATTGAGAATACCATCCATCTCATGCTACATGCTTATTTCGTATAAAATTGGAAACCTGACGGAGAGTTAAAACTCGGAATCTCTTAAGTCCTGACCGTGGTATTAACTTATCGAGTGGTCTAGAAACTATGAAAGGGGGAGGGATCCGAACCCGATCTGATTTCTCTGAAGATTCGACCAGGGGGATTTGAACTCCACCAAATAGGATCGGATCATGATGATCATGATCCATTTGCACCCCTAGACATTTGGCACCTTTGAGGTCTACCCATTTGTGTGTGATTGACAGCCTTATGGCTTTTACTGATGTGGCATTTTTTTATGTTTGTTTTGAAAAATAAAGTCATAGATCATACACATTGATGAATACCTCCATGGTTTTTAAATATTTTAGGCCGTTTCTCTCAAATATTTATTTTGGCATTGCATAGTCTTCGAAAGTATCATGCGTATGGTGGCTTTTGGCTTTGTAATTAAGGCTCAGTTTGGAAAGAGTATAAATGCAAATATATACAAAATATTATAAAAATTTAAGGTTTACATTCTATATATTTGATTTGCATTTATACTCCTTCCATAAGGCTCAGTTTAAGAGTACAAATACAAGTATATAAAACACAAATGCATACAAAATGTAAGATTTTATATTCTATATATTTGTATTTGTATTCTTCTAAGGCTCAGTTTGAAAGTAATGTAAATACAAATATGTACAATATAAATATTTAGAAAATATTACAAAATATAAGATTTTGTACTCTACAAATTTATATCTGTACTCCTTCCAAACTGAGTTTACATGAGAACTATGCAGAAAGCGTACACATAATGTTAAGCTAAGAAATGAAATTCCAAAATCCAAATTTTCTATCTAGAGTAGATCTCCCCAGAATAGGCTTTGATTGAGCTGATAAATCGATTTTCCGGCGAAGCATATTTCAGTTGAGTCAATCTTGACGGGCCTTAACGGTGATCCAATAATCATTTTTGATTGGCTGAGTCAATCTTGATGTCTTTATCTGTTGAGTAGTGAGATTTCCTATTTTTGCAATGTCTTTATCTATTTCTGAGTCTCTTTGTGCGGCAACAGGCCTGGTTTTATTTACCCATGAGAATAAGAAGAGTTCGTGCAGCTGGAAGTTGGCAAGCAGAATGGTGGGCTGTCCTCGATGGGATGAAGAAAGCAAAGGAGCTAAATATATCATCTATCACAATATTATCTGACACGAAAGGTGTAGTAGATAGCATGGTTTTTAAAATCGGCCTGGTGATTAAACCGGTCAGGGGTTTGGTTATCGGTTTGAATGGTTGGTCCGTTATGACAAAAATAAAAAATTGAAAAATGATTAAAATCGTAGAAACAATTAATCAGTCAATTTAATGATTTACTGACTAAAATTAACAGTTTTGAGAAAAAACGGAATCAATCAAGTGACCGATTCCTGATTTTTCCGGTCCGACCGTTCAGCCCAGTTCAATTTTAAAAACCATGGTAGATAATATATCTAAAGGCCAAGAGGTGGAATGGTCCGCCAAACATCTACAGGAGGAGATAAATGTGCTGAAGTTGTTTTTTAAAGCAATTTCCTTCGTTTATATTCCTAGGGAGCAGAACTCTTATGCTCATAAATTAGCTTATGATGCATGTAAATATAATATAATATAGTAGAAGACCAATACGTAGATGCGAATTCTTTCTGTATTCCTCCTGATGCTTAACGAAGTTTTTCTGGTTTGGCGAAAAAAAAAAAAAAGTTATCATCATATCATGTGCTTATTTTTTCTTTTTAATGCCATGACATGACAGAAATTGAAAGGGTAGAAATGGAATTGGATACCTGGATTTCATTTCTACCATTTCCATTTAGATTAACAATATGTATGACTTAATAATTAAAATGAGATTTTATGGATTTTCAAGTAAAAGACTCCACACTTAAGCCCATATTTTGCCATTGAATGAATGAAAGGGAAAATTGAAGTTACGAAAACCTTCATGGTAATTCCACTGTAATCACTAATATCAGTGCACACGTCATTAGCTGACTTTTGAGATTTGACTTGTGCAAAATGTTCACAAACTATTGCCTATTGGGGGACTTCCTCGAATGTTTTATTCTTGCTCAGAAATCAGAATGCCTGATGATTTATCAATGCCTTAGAAAAATTTCTTAGGATAACAAATAAGAATTCAAGAGATTCAGTTTCAGCTTGATATATCTAATGGGTATATGTATATGTAGATGCAAGAGAGGTTTATTGGGCCAATCTGATGAAAACCTCTCCTCTATAGAAAAAGAAGCCCATAATCCAAAGCTTAAAGTTACAGGCTTCTCTCAAACATATGGTTATCACAACTCACAACTACCTTAGTTTAGTTAAAATAATGTAATTCCACATACGACAGACCGCACCGTGCATATTATCTTTTTTGAACAATTCAGGCGTCAGCTAAATCCACATTTGGAGGTGGCGAAAAACATGCATCAATCAAGAATTAAAAAAATATTAGAGATTAGTGTGGCACAAGCAAATTGCAACTGAGATTATCTAACCGGTCGATTGTCATCACTCTTCACGATGACCTCCACCCCGGCTCCCACATTGAGTTCTCCTGTACTCAACCACCAAGAGTTGACCACAAAAATTTTGCTATTAATCAACGTGCTGCAGACGC